GCTAGGTTGGCAGGAGCAGGGACCAAGCAACGGGAGCTCACCCCGTCGCAGGGATTCGAACCACTGACCTTCTGATCGGCAAGTCCTAGGCTCTGTGGTTTAACCCACAGCACCACCCCCGCCCCTTGCATTATTAGGTACTGTACAACAATTTAAGAGGGTAAGCCCTTGCCACCAGCTTCTCTTTTCTTAATCTCAGTGTTGCCCTCAGCAGGCAGGAGAGTGGGGGCAAGACCATCATAGAATTGTAGAATTGCCAAGTTGGAAGGGGCCACAAGGGTCATCTAGTCCAACTCCCTGCAATGCAGGAATATTGTGCTCCCAATGTGGGGATCGGACCCATGACCCTGAGATTAAGGGTCGCATACTCTACCAAGTAACCTATAGAGTTGGTTGTCTCTGCCTTTCATTGGTTTTGCCTCCACCCACTGTTGACCACTCTGCCTTCCACCCTAGCAGTCACAAAGGCCACTGGAAAAATGCCTTGTTCTGTCACAATGTTAGAGGCACTTGCTTAATTTCTACCTTTATTTCCTCAAATGACTTGGAAGGGAGATAATTTGAGGATGCCACCTGGACTCATCCAACGAAAGCACAGTGGATTGCTTTCTGTGTCTCCCTGGAAATCGTAAACCAAGGCCCTGAGTCATATCCTCTGAAAGCTCACTTCCACTAATCGCTGTCTCTGCCTAAACCGATTTATGATCTACATTAATCAATGTAGAAAACCGCCTGTGAAGGAACTGAAAAAAGGAAAATTTTTAATGTTTGCTGCTTCCTCCCCATCACCAACCCACACACCTTTTCTTTTCTTTTTTTAAGGTGAGGGGATCACTTTTGTTGGAATTAATTTCCTCCTCAAGATTTTTGCAAGTTTTTTTTTTTTTATCTATTGGTAGGAGGCTTGGTCGGCAAAATAGATGAAATATTTTATGTGCCAGCTTCTACTGTCATATATTAGAGACGTTAAGACATCTGTAATGATGCCAAATTACAGAGAAGCATAGAATGGTAATATTTTCATATTTACTGGGACTTCTGCTTCAAGGGTGAAAATAAAAAGTATTAGGAAAATAAATTTCTCTCTCTCTCTCTCTCTCTCTCTCTCTCTCTCTCTCTCTCTCTCTCATAAAAGATGGATATTAACCTTAAGAAGAAGCCAGTGTGCTTATTGATTCTGTTGATGGCTCCATTCATTAAATTCCTTCATAGATGCTGTGGGTTTCTGGCTACAAAGTCATCATGTGCCATTAAACATTGTGGAAAATGTCAGCTTGCAATGATTCAACAACGTAAAAGTAGCTGAAATAAGAGTGCATGCAAAAAAGATGCATCAGATGCCAAGAAAATAAGGTTAAAATTGAGCCACAAATATAGCTCAAGTCATCCAAAATTGGGGAGGTGCTTTCATGCTCTTGTTCCCAGTCATACACTTCTCTGTGTGTTTATATGCATGTGCACAAACACACACATAGCCAGTACCAGCTTTCTGTCAACAGCTGTACACAAATTGTCTCTCAAAATTCTCCATCCTTTTCTCCCCCAGAAGGAAAAGAAATTCCCCAAGGGTTGGTGTTCACAATTAGAGTTAGTAACATCGTGGTAGTAACATAACTGTTTGGTTTTGGCACCAGGAAATGCAACCTCAGGGTAGATTTCTCGGAGCTCATGGCGCTGTCAGAAACAGGTTTTGACTGACAAGCTCTGACATGGGGGGGGGGAGGAAGAAACAGAGAGGGAGGAGGCTGAAAATGGTGAACCTGGGTTGCAGGAGGAAATTGTGACTTCCGTATGTGCAAGGTAGCAGCTAGCAGCAGGTACAGGTAGCAGCAACTGAACAAGAGCTCAAATTGGAGGTGCAGACTTGATCTCTAGAACTAGGTGCCACCTTCGCAGATGGGAGCAGCCCCACCCACCCCAAAGGAGGATTTATTTGCATTCTCAGCATCCCTATGCCTAGCCTTTAAAAGCTTGTCAGACTTGCTGGGACATCTTCATTGCTTCTGTCCTTGCCCTGCTCCTGAACTCCTGAGCTGTAACCTCTGAGCTTTGGGTCTGCCTCTGAGTGTCAGGGACTGTCAGAACTCTGATAGATGTGCACCAGGGGCAGGGTGGCTGGAGTCTGACTTGGGAGATGGGGGGCAGTGGCTTGTGATGATCAGAGGCAGGGGAAGCTTCCGAGGTGGAGCAGGGTTGCCAGACGTACGGACATACCTAGAATACTGCAGTCTGAAGCAGTGTCTGGGCAAAATTCACATGCTGCTTCCCCACTTTCTCCTGAACCACTGCCTCCCAGAACCAGGAGGGAATTGAAACAGGATGAGCAGAAGAAGTTTCCACACAGATGCAATCTCTGACTGCATACGCTCAGCCAGCCGGGGGAAGGTACATAAACTGGTGGAAGGGATAGCTGCCTAGCCGTTAGATTGGTGTGCTTAGGTATCCAGAGCTGTAGAAGTGACTGTAAATGTTATCTTTGGCAATAAATACTTAACTATCAGCTGTGTGCATTTCTTTGGCTGGGAAGTGCTTCTGACACTGAGCCTGTACCATAATCTGTTTTGGGTAAAAAAATATCTTTCTTATTTATATGTAAGAGTCTCTGCTTATGGGTTTTGGGGTGGGAGCCAGGACTGGATTTTGTAATGAGGAGTGGGATAAGTTCTCTTCACAGGGAACTCGGAGAATTGTAGCTTTGTGAGGGGAATGGGGCCCCAAAACAACTCTCAGCACTATTAACAAACTACAGCTCCCTGAATTATTCGGGGGAAGCCATGGCTGTTTAAAGTGGTATCATAACGCTTTAAATGTACGCTGTGAATGTGGCCTTACATACTTTGACTGATGGAAGATCTCAGAGTTCTCTCCCTCCTGCCAAGATTAAACTCTGGGACCTTACAGAAAACATTTGTTCTATCATGTTCAGCCAAACAGTTGCCAAGGCAATGAGAACAGGAAGAGCTCATTTTATTATTATTTTTAAGACATTTTAGTTTGTTTCTTCCTTCAAGGTAAGACTACCACAGCTGATGCATTTAGTATATCACTCTGGCCTTCCAAGAGAACAGTTGATTTTAACCTCTTGGCCTCATTTCATTATCTGTTCTATGCGACAATAACTCTCCCCTAACAAGGCTGGAAAAATGCTTAATTAATTAAAGCTTCCTTGGTGCTTTGAAAGCCCCTCAGGGAAAACATAGCATGCCTTTTCTTAAAAAAAGAAAAGGAAAGGGGAAAGAAAGATGTTTCTCCATATCTCCTGATCTTTTTCTTTTAAATTGCATTTTTTTTCATGTCCCTTTTTAGCCAGTAGTCATCACAATTTCATGACTTTACAATTTGTAGGATTGACTATGAGCCTCTCCCTTGGGTTCCTCGGGCCTTCCTTTGCTGCTGGGTCACTGGTTCCAGGGATGGTGTAATTGGCAGCCCAGAGCAGATTTGTCCATTGCAGCTGTTTTGATTATATATGTGTGTGTGTGTGTGTGTGTGTGTGTGTGTGTGTGTCTGTGTGTCTGTGTGTCTGTGTGTGTGTGTCTCGTTGATGCTACACACTGAAAAGAATCATGATAGGGATTCCTAGGGAAAATAAAGCCACCCATTCAATTTTGTTATTTGCTACGAGTCCTTAGTAAAGTCGGTGAGTTGGAACACCTGCCAATATAATGGCGTGTGTGCAACAGCTCTCTTTGTACCCCAATTAGGTGGCAGATCAGTTAGGAATAGCCTTTCATTTTATCGAATCCGATTTTGTCATTAACAAGTCGTGCCAAGGAGAACCAGCGAGTGGCTAGCCTTCTAAGTAGCTCTGTTCCCACAGGATTTCCTCCCCATATTCCCCACCATCAAGATATATCTGTTATGTCTAAAAGCCAATTTTAAAAAGTAAAGTAAAATTAAAGTTATACGCATGGCTGTTCACCCACCCACTGTCCCCTCTTCTGAGAAATGAATCTAAGCTGGCTGGTCCAGAGGAAAAGGAGTGGGGAGATCTTTCCTTTTGACTGAAAAGACTGGCTTTTAATCACAGATAATTATTTTTCCTAGCCACTTCAATCACAGTGATTTGGGGGAAAGATGCTGAAGTACCTGGAAGACCATCTCCCAACTCTGCTGGCATTTTTAGGTGATGAGATCTACAGAGAGGGCTCTCTTAGTAGTTCCACCACTCTTAGAAGCAGTGATGGGTGCTGATGTGGTGCTGCAAAATCCGCAATAACTGCCGCTCTTTTTCCGACCAGAACATCTATAGTGTGGGTTTCGGCAAGGCAAAGGTTATAAGTGGCGTTTACATGGCAATTTGGATTCTATTTTGGTTCTCATCACACTCAATCGTTCTCCTGAGTTCTTTGGATGCCATTGTGCAAAACTGACCTGCTGTTTTCTTGCTCCACTGCTGCCTAGTGACTCAAACCCATTTTAGTATCTTGCAGCTTTTGAAGGCCAAAAAGAAAAAGAAAGGAAAAGAAAAGAAAGGAAAAGAAAAAGCACCCCATTATTCTCAAACAGTGAATGTAATAAAGGTTTTACCTCACCAAATGCTGGCCTCCCGTATTTAATCACTTTTAATAATTTTCCTCTCAAGTAAGATCTCCCCCAATCTTTCTGTCAAAAACACCAGGCCTAATTTTCTTCTGTATTTTTTACACCACTTCTCTTCTGGCATTAACTTCTTGACCAAGATCATTTAGAATTACGAGTAGAAAGGCAGTGGTTTTTTCCCCCTGGGAGTACGCGGGGGTATGCATAACCCCAAACATTTTGTGAATCTAAGTTTGGCCTCATTGAGGGCAGAATATCAATATGAGTAGGAAAATGAGAGTACCCCTAAACATTTTTTAAGAAAAAAAGCACTGGAGAGAGGAATCAGACAGCCTCACTATTAGGAAGAATAAGGCAGCTGCTATGGCCTTCTTCCCTCAGGTGAGCTGTCCTGTTGCCAGAGCTGAAAGAAAACTCTGCTGGGTATCTAGTTATCTTCTGTTCATGAAATGAGGACGGTCCATAGCTCAGAGGCACAGCGTCTGCTTTTCATGCAGAAGGTCCCAGATTCAATCCCTGTTATTTCCAGATACAGCTGGAAATATTGTCAGAAAACCTGGATAGTCCCTGCCAGTCAGTGTAAACAGTATTGAGCTAGGTGAGCCAATGGTCTGGCTCTTTGTAAGCTTCTTATGTTTCTAATGGGAAAGAGTTGTGTCTTCAGTATACAAAAAAAGTCGCACAATGACAATGCCAAATGCACCTCTGTGGAGAATTCATTTGAATTGAACTTCATTTGATCTGGACAGTATTCTTCTGTTGATGCAGAGTACAACAGCATTAGCTTTCTTTGCTGCTGCATCACACTGTTAACTTATAGAATCATAAAATCATAGAATTGTAGAGTTGGAAGGGACCACAAGGATCATATAGTCCAACCCCTTGCAGTGCAGGAATCTTTCACCTAATGTGGGGCTCGACTCACAACCCTGAGATGAAGAGTCTCATTCTCTACCGACAGAGCTATCCCTCATGCTAAGCTTGTGGTGCATTAAGACCCCTAAATCATTTTCACATATATTACTGACAGTTCAGCTGATTATTCTTAAAAGGTAAAGGGACCCCTAACCATTAGGTCCAGTCGTGGCCGACTCTGGGGTTGCGGCGCTCATCTCGCTTTATTGGCCAAGGGAGCCGGCGTACAGCTTCCGGGTCATGTGGCCAGCATGACTAAGCTGCTTCTGGCGAACCAGAGCAGCACACGGAAACACCGTTTACCTTCCTGCCGGAGCGGTACCTATTTATCTACTTGCACTTTAGCATGCTTTCAAACTGCTAGGTTGGCAGGACTGATTACACTGGTCAACAACAAATTTGTTGTCTGCGTTTTTTCAGCTGATTTAGGACGAATCTGATGCGCTGAATCCAAAAATCACATTGGTTTTGCTCAATCAGGTCAAGTTTTTGAGTTATGGCCACATGCCTTTTTTTTTTACATTTTTGTTCACATGTACGCTTGTGTGGAGCATTTTAGAAGAAGTTGGTGGGGGTAAAATGCCATGTCAAATAATTGTTTTGATTGGAAATGATTATTTTAATGACAAGAAGTATTCAGGTTCGATAGTTCTGGGTGATTATGTTGAAAAGGGATCAGTTTGAAGTCATAAAACCTCGAAATCTTCCATAAATTGGTGCGGCAAAGCATAAAGTTGGGGGATCAAAACCTCTGGGTCACTCGAGTACACTGAAGGAGAACTATGAAGGGGTGAAGTATGTGCTGGAGAAAATTGGTTATGATCAGCATAAGTGGTTTATTTGTGTTGACCTGAAGATGGTGAACTTTTTGTTGGGACAACAGTCTGGCTTCACCAAGTACCCATGTTTTCTGTGCATGTGGAATAGTAGGGACCGTGCTCAGCATTACACAAAGAAGGACTGGCCTGTGTGGGAGGAATTGGTGCCTTGCAGAGAAAGAAACGTCATCAACGACCCTCTGGTGGACAGAGACAGAATACTCTTCCCACCGCTGCACATCAAGCTCGGCTTAATCAAGCAGTTCACCAAGGCTCTGGACAAGGATGGTGACTGCTTCACTTACTTGTGCAAGGCTTTTCCAGGATTGACCATGGAGAAGTTGAAAGCTGGCATCTTTGACGGTCCTCAGATCCGTCAGCTCATCAGAGATCCAGAGTTCGGAAACTCAATGAACGAAGTGGAACTGGAAAAATGGAAGGCATTTGTTCTGGTAGTGAAGAACTTTCTTGACAAGAATAAGGCCAGAAACTATGCAGAACTTGTCAACAACATGCTGACTGCTTTCAGAAACCTGGGCTGCAACATGAGCCTCAAGATGCACTACCTATTTTCACATATGGACCGGTTTCCTGAGAACCTGGGTTCAATGAGTGACGAGCAGGGGGAGAGATTCCATGAGGACATGAAAGAGATGGAGACCAGGTATCAGGGTCGCTGGGACGCAGTCATGATGGCTGACTACTGTTGGACTCTGAAGAGAGACCTCCCTGCCGCTGAGCATTCCAGGAGTTCCAAGAAATGGAAGTTCAAGCCCTGAAGTTTGAAAAATGGTGAAGCAACATGCAATTTACGTGTATTTAGCTTTATCAATGCCCACCATTCAGTTTACAGTAAGCGATGTTTCTATCAGGTAATCAATATATGTTGTTGGAAAAACATTTTTTTCTCTTAGAAACATATTTAGGACAAAAATCAGCTGAGAATGCCACAAAAATGTAATCGATTTTGTCACAAGATCTGATTTTTTTCAAATCAACACAAAAACCTGACCTGATGGAGAGAAACGGATGCCATTTCCTGATTCAACAGTGCAAACATACCCTAAATCAGTTGTAGAAATCTAGACAACATTCAAAAAGTTAAAAATTGTTGCCCAGTGTTATTCTTACCTAAGTGTAAAACCTTACATTTTCCCCTATTGAAATTCATTTTGTTAGTTTTGGTTCAGTTTTTCAATCTGTTAAGGTCATATTGAATCCCACTTCTGTCTTCTGTGGTATTAACTACCCCTCCAAGGTGGAATCTACACACATATAAAAACTGTTCTGAAAATGCTTTTTTAAAAAGTGTTTTTAAAAATACATTGAATTTTCCATAAGGTTCACCATCGCCATCTAGTGTCACATTGTGTATTGCACTTAAAACACACTTAAAATGTTTTATTTGCAGCTGTACAGTTGATTCCGAGTTTGGTGTCCTCTGATGAGCACCCCTTCAATTTCTTTGTCCAAGACATTTATAAAGACATTGACTATCAGGCCCAGGACAGATCCCTGTGGCACCCAACTTGTCGCTTTTCTCCCAGGATGACAAGGATCTATTAGCAAACACTCTTTGGGTTCAGTCAATCAACCAGCTACAAATCCACCTAATAGTAACCTTGCCCACATTTTACCAGCTTCCTTGCGAGAATATCATGGGGGATTTTGTCAAAAGCCCTACTGAAATCAAGATACACTACGTCCACAGCATTCCTCTGATCCACCAAGCTAGTAATGCTATAAAAAAGAAAGAAATGAGATTCATCTGGCATGACTTGCTTTTGAGAAACTCATGCTGGGTCTTAGTAATCACAGTGCCCTTAATGATGTGCTTAATGAACATATGAAGCCTGCATTGAAATTGTATTCTTCTACTAAAATATGTAGTCATACCTCAGGTTACAGCTGCTTCAGGTTGCGTTTTTTTTAGGTTGTGGACTGCCAAAACCCAGAAGTACCAGAACGGGTTACTTCCGGGGTTCAGTGGTCGTGCATGCACAGAAACGCTAAATTGCACTTTGCGCATGCGCAGAAGTGCTGAATCGCAAGCCTCACATGCACAGACGCGGGTTGCGAATGCTACGGGTTGCAAACGTGCATCCTGCATGGATCATGTTTGCAACCCGAGCATCCACTGTATTTAAGTACAAAATTTAAATATTATTTTTGTGCAGATTTTCCCCCTCCAAAACTGTAGAAATGAGATGACAATGAACAGATGCAAAATTGAAATGAACCAGGAATAGACCGATCTGTCCACCCCTGCACTGTCCATCCCTTTAACTCAATGGGGATTCCTCCCAGTTAATTGGAAATAGGATTTGTCAGGGAACTGCCATCAGTGCCGGAGGGAGAGAGCAAAAGCCAGAGGGATTCCAGAGAGCGTCCAGGGATTGGGAGAAGCAGCCCATCTTCTGGGGAAGAGAATCAGCGTAGCACCAGTGGAGAAGGGGGGCAGATGGGGGAAGCGACGAGGCGGTCCCATGACTCCTTGCCTGGGACCAGTGGGGAGAGTAGGGGTCCTCCATTGCCCACGCCCTCCTTGCGCAGAAGGCTTTCGCGCAGAGAGAGTAGGAGGAGACTAGGCGTCAAAGAGCTTCTTTGCTGGAAGAAGTTTAAGAAACGCCCACTGACGGATTCTGCCAGCGATTGATTGAGTCAGCCACGGGTGAGTGGCTGTCCGGACAGAAAAGGTTCACTTAGGCAACCCAGCCAGGTGTTTGCACCCAGCCGGGGAGATAAGCACCGGCTTACGCACGAGCAACCCCTAGAACCATTACAGGATTGTAACACAAAATGTGTAGAATACCCCCTTTTAGAAACTATTTGCATTCTGTTTTTTCAGACACAGTCCTTCTGAACTAGCATGAATCCAAAACAAGAAGAAGGCATAGGAGCTGAACAGAGAAGGCTGTGTAATGAAATATTTCTGGCTTCCGTGAAAAGGCACAGCCAGGGTTTTATTTCCATGCCGTCCTTTAGTGTTTAATTTATTTTTCTAATGGCAATATAATTCGCATTGACACCTCTTCATTTCCACATCATCACAAGCTCTCCAAAGGCTTCTGCTCAGATCTCTCTGCCATAATCACAGTGGCATCAGACTGGCATCCTAATGGATTCTCTGTGGATTTGAATCCTTATATTATTTCCCCCTCTTAATCTCATGTCGTAATGGCACCATAACTGGGTCCCGACAGACTACTGCGGAAATCATTATGAAACAGTTAACATCACCGACGAGCCAGATTAAGCTGAATGAGAAGCCCGCAGCATTGTAAAAAGAATGCATTCTGAAAAGTAATTACTGAATATGCTTATTTCTCTCCCCACCGCACCAAAAAAAATTGATTCCCTTCTCTCTCTTTTCCTCTGCAACATCCTTCTTAAAAAAGAGTCAATCTAGTTGGTTCTTTAAAAAGAAGAAGAAGAAATCCTTCCTGGCAGCCTGCAAAAATGAAAATGAAAATAAAATCAGACTCTCTCACTCCTGTTTGAAGGAAGAAATGTGAAACTTGGGGGGGGAAATGCTAAAGACACCTGAAACCAAAACATGCCAGTCTGTATCTGGAAAATTATTTAAGAGTAGAGCAAAATGGCAGGAGGTAGGAGGGGGTTTATAAACAGTCAACAGGGAAAAAGAAAATAGAGGAACCAATGTAATGCAGAAGTGTATTTATGGAAGCTGTGTATTAATTACTAATGTAATGATAATATTAATTAGGGGAAGGGCTGTAGCTGAGTGTTGGAGCATTTGCTTTGCATGCAGAAGATCCCAAGTTCAGTCCCTAGCATCTC